TTCTGCTTTAAGTTACTGTGTTACTAAATTTAGCTTTTAGCTACTGTTGCAGTTGTTATAGTTTAATACTGTTTTGCTAATTTTAACTGATGCTATAATTCTTTTAGCTGCTGTTTTTAGTTATTAGCTTGTGTTCTGCTGGTTTTAGCTTTAAATTTCTGCTTTAAGTTACTGTGTTACTAAATTTAGCTTTTAGCTACTGTTGCAGTTGTTATAGTTTAATACTGTTTTGCTAATTTTAACTGATGCTATAATTCTTTTAGCTGCTGTTTTTAGTTATTAGCTTGTGTTCTGCTGGTTTTAACTTTTATTTGATCGTTTTTAGCTTATTTATACTATTTCACTGGTTTTAGCCTTTAGCTACTGTTTTGCTAGTTTTAGCCCCTACCTACTGTTAAATTTTTTAACTTTTTTAACTGTTTTTGATTTTTATTTTTTTGGCTTTTAAGCCTTTGTTTTGCTAATTGTACTTGATGCCTATAGCCGTTAGGTACTGTTCAGCTATTTTTAGATATTAAGRAGTGTACTGCTAGTTTTACCTTTTAGTTGTGATTGTTCTAACTTATAGAGGCTATTTTACTGGTTTTAGCTTTTAGCTACTGTTTTGCAAGTTTTAGCCACTACTCTTACARTTGTTTTACTTTATAATTTACTGTTTTTATCATTTTAGCTTTTGTTTTGCTAATTGTATCTGATACCTTTTCAGCTAGTGTTCTGCTGGTTTTAGCTTTTAGTTACTGCTGTGGTTTTAGGGCTGGGTTTTAGATTTTGGCTACTGTTCTGCTCATTTTAGCTGACGTTACAGTATGTTTAGCATTTTGTTTTGCTGATTGAGTTTTAACTTAAATAAAGTTTCATTAACATACCTTTTTWAATTTAAGTTTATTGAACATCAGGTATTTTTTGATTCTCATGAATGTTTTAACTTGAGTCTTTTTGTGACAAATGCTGATTTAAAATCATGTTTCTGGTAGTTTTACTGTCAGGAAGCTGACAGAGGATCCAGTTTAATTCAGTTTATTTATATAAGTCACAACAAATGTCGTCTCAGGGCACTGTACGCCAAAAACTAATAAATTGTAATAAAGTTTGGTATTTAAAGTGTAAACCTGATCAAACTGCTCATGTGTGAGCCGGTTCTGTCCTGTGAACTGGACCCTGTCGGAGGCATGTTTGTGTGAACCAGCACCACCTGGTGTCTGTTAGGAGACCTGCAGAGACTCTGACCCTGACCCGTCTCTGTTTCAGAGTGTAAGGGGATGAGTAACTGGCTGAACCTGCTGGGCAGTCATGATAATCACTACAACAACATGTTGAAGATGTACTCCAACTGCAGCGTGGTTCTGGAGAACCTGGAGATCACCTACACCCTGGAGCACCACGACCTGTCCTTCCTGAAGGTAAGGACCTGTTGGTGGGACCTCACAGGCCACAGTTTAATCAGACGTGATGAAACGGTTCCTCTTGTTGCTTCAGTCCATCCAGGAAGTGGGCGGCTACGTGCTGATCGCCATGAACGAGGCGCCCGTGGTCCCGCTGCTCAACCTGCGGCTGATCCGGGGTCAGACTCTGTACGACGGACGCTTCGCCCTGCTGGTGCTGTCCAACTACAAGGACAACTCGTCTGCCAGCGTCAGCAGCGGGCTGAGACAGCTGCTGCTCAGCAACATGACCGGTGGGTCCAAACCTGCAAACTCTCTGTGAGCCAGGTGAGAGGCAGGGACACCTGGACATGTCTCCAGTCCAGCACTGGGACAAAGACAACCAATCCCAGCTGGGAACTAGAGTCAGATCAGTCTAACCTGCTGTGGGTGGAAAACAGAGAAAACCCACGTGTGCACAGAGAGAACACGTAAACTCCWCCCAGAAAGGCTCCAGGCTGGGAGGCGAACCTGTGGCCTTCCAGCTGAGAGACCGCTGTGCCACCGTGCTGCCCTGCATGAGTCTCTACAGTAAAGGAAAAGCTGTGACGTGCTGCAGCTTGACAAGAACGTTTTTTGTTTTTACAGCGCAGAACTGAGGCGTGTTCARGTTATCATCACGATCGGCGTTAGATGTGGCTGAACACGCCGCKGAGGCGTGGCAGCAGTGAACAACGGGACATGGCTGCGAGCCCGGGGGGGTGGAGCTTGTATGTCGTCGTTTAAAACCCTTCTTTCAACTGCAGGTAGAAAACTGGCTCCAGGAAATAGACCGCACCGACACGACCGTTGGCTGATGGCGTAGAATCTGTTTGAATAAATTTTTAGGTTTATCCTCGTTTTCTGTCTACTGCCAACCTGAGGGCAGAGGATGATGATGGTGATGGTGATGATGATGATGATGATGATGATGATGGTGATGATGATGATGATGATGATGGTGATGATGATGATGATGATGATGGT